TTCATATTTTAGAATACATGTGTGCTAAGTATGTTATATATTTATCATGTATAAAGTATCATTTAAGAAGTAGTATTTCTTACTCATTTTCTATTTAATTTTTAACAGTCTCTTCTCAAACTTTTTCTAATTTTATAAGATAGAAACTATGAAACAATGATCGCCAAATCATTTTAAATATGTTAAATCTTGATTGTAGTTGTAATTAATACATGAAATGTATTGTATGAATTTTTTAAATTTCTTATTAGTTTTTGTGATCTCTTTGCAGGTTATGCCACGAAGATACTACAGTCTCATAGTAACAACAATTTCAGTTCCGGTCATTGCTTTACAGTTATTATTACATATGTATACTGAAAGGTATATAAAGTTAGTAAATGAATGATGTTTTGATCACAAACGAGTAACTTGTCTGTGCTTCAAACTTTTCCAAATCAATCCATAAATCGTTTAAACATTTCTGACGTACTTTTATGTTGTAATCATTTTATTTGTAATCCATTCATATATTTTCCAAGCAATATGAAGTCACAAAGGATTTAATTCTTATTTATATAGTGTTAAAAAATATTATGTATCGTGCATATGTTGCGCAGTTAAAATTTGCGATTACAAATAACAATTATCAACACTACATAAATAGCGGATTATCTATCGCATTAAATTAGTCAATTAGGATTCTTAAATTAAGAATAAACTTCTGCTTTATTTTTCCGAAGAAACATCAGAAAATCGATTAGTTAATTTTCCAATTTTTCTAAATTCGAATTCGACGTAGGCGTAAGGTATTTAAGATTAAATGAACATATTCTTAATTGAAATGCCTTTTTTCTACAAATAATGGCTTAAGTCTGATACGTAGTAAATTATTTTCGTAAAAGATCAAGTACCGATAACAACTGATACGGATACATACATACATACATATAAATGTTAACACGTGGTATCTAGTACTCGGCTATTCTCGACTTTTGTCGTAGCGATGAATAACTGAAAATTAACAGTTAGATAAAATAATTTGCATCTATCGAGAGGATGTTTTGAGTCATTTATGTTTATTTATTATTGTTGAAATTTCGATTCTGTTTGATGTAGATGTGAAAGTTTGATGATTCGTGTGTGACGGGTACGTTAAACTACGTCTTCTATTGGATCAGTCAATTGAACTTTGTACCTTATACGGACTGTTATTGTGTTGTTGCAGTTTTATTTGAAATTTCATCTGTCAATGAATCATGTGTATGCGACGTGTTAAATGTAATTCGTCCTTTTACTAAAACACAGGTGTTCATGTACAATTTTTTTAGATTAATTCAATTATCATGAATGTTCCGTTTTTTGCATTTGTTGACGTATGTGTATAATTATCGCAATTCATTATATAAGAAGTCATGACCCTTCTGAATTTTTAAAATCTTATTTTTTATCATTCTAAGTATTCCGAATTAGACATTAGACACTAAACCAGCCACTGAATTTGTTCTCGTAAATCGTATATACTAAATTATTATATAATTATACGATCTTATTTTCTTTTAATCGTCAATTAATCTGTGTTATTGTGATTAAATAACATCAGAAGTGATTGAATTGCCATTTAAAAGTGTAATTAGTAATAATATTGTCTGTCATACATATTAATATAAATTACACATATTTGTATTAGCATTCAGTGTTATTTAACAATTTAATCATTGACATATATATCATGATGTAACATTAATCTGTATAATCATGATTTTAGAAACGTGAAGTTACTGTAAGCATAGAATATGTCGCAATACGAGGATGCAATCATCGAAGATAAAGGGAGCAATGATATTAGTGCAACGGACGCTGGAATTCGTCATAGAATTCCATGGAGTGATCGTGTGTCATTAAATAGTGAAGTACCAGGTTTACATGAAGTCAAAGAATTATTGGATGACGACGACGTAAGTTGCTTAGCAGAAGAAGAAGATGGAGTTGGTTGTCCATTACCATCAACTCCGGAAGATGATCATCTTTTGGATTGTGAGGTATAAAAATACAAATTTATGTTTGAGTTCTTACAACTACTAAGAATATTAATAATTGATGTTTAATGTGTTATAGATGACAGAGGTTCTGAAAGCTGGTGTACTGAGTGATGAAATTGACTTAGGTGCATTGGCACACAATGCTGCTGAGCAGGCAGAAGAATTTGTTCGTAAGGTAATGACATTACTCTAAATAAAAATTGAGTATTTCTTTAGTAAGAAAATTTAATTTGAACTGCAATAAAATGATGTTATGTGACTGGTTATTCAATAATGTCAATTTAATTATTTAGGAATATGTGTAACTGTTAAGATATACGCTAATCAACAATCAATTGTAGGTGTGGGAAGCTTCATGGAAACAATGTCACTTCAGAAACCTTCCAAGATGGCTACAAGATAATGATTTCTTACATGCTGGTCATAGACCACCTTTACCCTCATTTTATGCCTGTTTTAAAAGTATATTTCGAATTCATACAGAAACTGGAAATATCTGGACTCATCTACTTGGTAATATTTGTTTCGAATTCACAGAAACGCATTCGATACATTACTTATTAATTTTTAATCATTTATTCGTATATACTATTTTATTAATTAAGATGATTAATTATATCTTTCGTAACAAATTAATGTACATTGTTTAGGGTGTGTGGCATTTATTGGCATAGCTATATTTTTCATAACACAACCTCCTATAGAGATACAACTGGAAGAAAAATTGGTATTTGGTACCTTCTTTGCCGGTGCTATAATATGCTTGGGAATGTCATTTGCTTTTCACACAGTACACTGCCATAGCGAATGTGTTGGAAAGTTGTTTTCAAAATTAGATTATTGTGGAATAGCTATGCTAATTATGGGTAGTTTTGTACCATGGCTTTACTACGGTTTTTACTGTGATTATCAACCTAAACTCATTTACTTGTCCGTGGTTGTAATACTTGGTGTAACGAGTATAGTTGTGTCACTTTGGGAACGATTTGGTGAACCAAGTTACAGGCCACTGAGAGCAGGAGTTTTTATGGGATTTGGGCTTAGCGGGGTAAGTCACATCCACTGCAAACAATAATAAATTATTTTTTTTCCATTGTGTTAAGTGTTATCATATTAATAAATGATAATGTTTTGTAGGTAGTACCAGCAGTTCATTATGCTATTGCAGAGGGCTGGTTTAAAGCAATTAGTCAAGCATCTCTTGGCTGGTTAATATTAATGGGTTGTCTATACATCTTAGGTGCGATGTTTTATGCATTAAGGGTACCTGAACGATTTTTCCCTGGCAAATTTGATATTTGGGTAAGTATATTTCATTTGAATATTAAACTGAATTGTAACTAATTTCTTCTATTATTCTGGTATTATTGAAATATTTTGTTTAATAGTTTCAGAGTCATCAAATTTTCCATGTATTGGTAATTGCAGCTGCTTTTGTCCATTACCATGGAATAACTGAAATGGCTATGTATAGAATGACAATAGGGGACTGTACAAATCCATCGCAGGTGATAGCTTTTTAATTGTGCATTGAGCATATTGAAAAAATTCCTAAGTCTTTGTATGTCAGTAAATCTGTACTATTTGAAGAACTGCTGGAAACAATATCGTGAATGCTATAAAACTTCTTATACTTTATTATAACTGAAAGAATTGGAAAGAGATTTACAGAGATTAAATGAAGAGCAATAAAGCACTACTACATGTGATAATGAAGATTGCTAAAATAAATTTGGAAAATTTAATTAGAGACTCCATATGCTTCGGTAAATTGAAATTTTTGAATGAAAGTTAACTTTGTATCCATTGACAAGCACAACATTTTAAATGTATCACATTTACCAAAAACTTCCGCAGTACAAATTAATAAGTAACATAACTATTTACACTTGTTGTTTCTTGCTTCACTTAAATAATTTATTTAAACATTATAAGTAATTTATTTAGTAATTTGCAAATGTGTTTAAACACAAAAAGGATATGCAACGTGAAAACAATCTGATTCTGTTATCTTATAAATAACTCATCTCTTGTTTCGTGCAGTTCTCTTGTTAAAAAGAAATTAAATAAAATTATAAATACGAAACAGAGTACAGAGATATATGGCAACGAACAAAGCTTAATTATATTAAGATTTGGGAACTAATTATAAATTATAAATGATTTTATAGCGTAAGCACTATAAAAGTTGTAATATATCTTGAACACAAACATTGTTAAGCAATGAAAACTGTTTATTATTATGGGAACTATAAAGAAATTTTAATTCTTTTTGGGTCACATTTGTGAAAAAATAAGGATATGCAGTAACACTGGTTTTCCAGTCCGTATATATTTAAAAGTTAAGTAGTATTAATTTTGCACTGCAACTGTTTATATTAAATAGTGATTTCCATTATATAATATTAGTAACTTAATTTTTCCGTTTTTGTTAAGTAGTTACAATTACCTTTTTTTGTTCTACATTAACATGTATTTATCGTGAACACACAATTTTCGTTGCAATTCTGTTGTTTTTTAATATAAAAAAAAAGATGTTGAATATTTCTGTTATTATGTAGGATCTAGTACTTCTAGAGAGATATTGTTGAACTTTTTACATAAATAATTCTGAACATTGGTAAATTAATAAAGAAGGAAATTATGCATTTTGTATGTAAAAATACAATGATCCTACTTTATGTAATTTCCCAAAATATATTTTTCTAAACAAATATTGTAGTATCATTTTGTGGATTTAATTATACTAGAGACATCATTATCTAGTGTAATCAACGACAATCGGAATATCTACAAGAGAAATTAGAATTTCATAGTACCTTATGGCAACTTAATAAAGTATAAATAATCTTTGATATCGAAAGAATCATTATCCACAGTTGCATACAATGTAAGCGAAACTTGACTTTATCTTACAAAATGATAAAATAATGTTCAAGTTTATTTCAGTGATATAAAAATTATTTTTTATCGGTAGATTAAAACCCTTGTATTAAATAGTCAAATTTGTATTTTATTAATTCTTTTTATTTATCATCATCGAAATCTATGACAATTCTTATTTTTTTTCTCTGTACCTAATTTAATTTAAAAAATAATTCCGGTGGTTGTCTGTACTTTATATATAAAGAAAACACTTTTATACAAAATGTTTGTATATCAGTCTGTACATGTTATTAAAAACTATCTTTACAAAAATAGTCGCAACATTAATGTCCAAACATTGATTATATTCATAGCTATAATACCGATTGTTTAAGTATATCGTTTAGCGTAAATAACAATTTAAATTATATTCCTTTATAAGTTACACATGTACATTACTACAGGGGGTGAGTCATGAAAAATAAATCATTTACATATTTTCTCAAGACTGTGTGATTTTCTTCTGATCTTTTCAGTTATATATTTTTTTATAAATAATTTCGAATGTACAAAGAATATTCGGATACTTTGTCATAATTCACCCAATGCATATATATATATATATACATATACATATACATATATATATATATATATTTGTTTTCAATAACAATAATAGGGTCTATAAAGGTACTGACCAATAGAATGAGGTAATTAAATTGCCGCATATATTAGAATATAATTTAATTGAGAGAATTTTAATCGTCGTGTCTTTTTCAACCTCGTGATAACGGCGAAACATGTTAAAATCGATACAACGGAAAAAATATCTCGATAAGACTTCGATAGATAGTCCGTTTCGGTTAAGGAACGGTTCGATAGTTGTGTTACCTGCATTTCGCGTTAAGTGCATCCATGGAGAGCTACGATGCGATGTTAAGGGAATGAAATGTTAATCTGGACGAAAGAGGATTATCTGCATTTCATTTGTGAAAAGAATGAACATCGTTTCTCGAAACGCAATATGATCTATTACACGTAATGTTCGATCAAAGGAATAATTAATCTCGTTCGCTCGTAGATCAAGAGAGGCGAGAACATGTAAATGCATTTGCCAGAAGTTTAGTATTTTCTCGTAAACAACTGATAATCTTTCGTAGGATAAACGAAAGTTGACAACGTTCTGAAAAAGAAACGCACAGAAATAAAACGACGGTATACTTTACGACGATGTGAAATTCTTATCATATTTTCCCATTGATAGTGTAGCATGGAAATTTATCAAGATGCGAATAGTTATCTATTCGTTGACGTACCCAGTACAACAATCGTGTTCTCCATCGCCTTCGATTTCTATTTTACAATCTTAAATATGTGATTAACTGATACGTATATAGCGTATTATGTATATTCAGAGCACAGAAAACGATCCAATTTAATAATCTATTGATGCCATTGTTGATAGAAGCATTTAGTGTTTTATGCCTTTTGCACATTATGTTTACTGAGTTTGCTAGATCAAGGTAAACAAGTCATAAGGAAATCATATATCGTATAATTTCAAAAGGATTCAATCTTTCTAGTATAAACAATGTAGACTGTTAACAAACTTTTCTCCAATGTTTTTAAAATTATGCTTTTTCTACAACTGAACACAGTTATCTGATTAATAACAATGAACGACATGAATGTAACAAGCATCACGAATATTGTAACGTCTACGACATTACTTGATAATGTCAGAAATTATACCACCACTATGGAGAACAACGGTTCCGATGAATCGTCTGAACCATATTTGTATTCTACCGAAGAAACTGGGAATAATCAACAGTTATGGAATATTTCTAAAACCACAACATCATTGCCTAATAACACTTTAGTTTCGTTTGAAACTTCAAGCACCAGTATATATGTGTCTACAACAGAAGCTTTCGATGAATTTGGCCCACCGGAAGGAATAGAATACATTTTCGTACCACTGGGTGTAGTGGTCTTTGTTATTGTATTATCAGCTGTGGTATGGGTAGCGATATCACTTTTGTACTTAAATCATAATCTTTCTCTGCCTTTCATTTACAGAAACAAAAAGCATATAATAAAAGTAACGATCAGATAATAGTAATTGGATAAATGTTTCTACATTAGGTATTTTAACAGTTCTGTAGTGTAGTCTGTGTTTGTTGGTCAGTTTGTATTACAGCATTAAAGTTATGTTAATTCATAATATTTTTCTTTAAAGAAAGATTAAGTTTTTATTAGCGAAACTTTCTATATTTTTTAAATGTCTGATACAGTGTATACTTCTACTAACATACTGTACTTTTAAAGGTGATAATTATATCAAGGAAAAGGAAATTAGAGCGCTTAAGGCACAGACTTATGCCAATGTACAATTTTGATCCTGGCGAAGAAGAAGAAGATGACTGGGAAACCGAATTGTTGGAAGAGTGTTACAATAATCATCAAAGACGTGTACGTGTAATGGATATTACTTTTTAACTAAATGGCATTCAGAAATAATACATAGGAATGATATATTTTACAGCAAGGATACCAGTCTATGGACACAGAAGAAAATGCTGAACTTTTTGGAAATCATTGATAAATACAGAAATAGTCCTTTAAAATCTTTGTACTCTCTACAATTTGACATAGATTAAAAATTATAGTATTTATTAGATTTATATATTTCCTTAATGTTTGAATAGGTTGTATATATATGTATTGCAATTCAAAACAAAATTAAAATTCACACACTTTATATACAACAAGATTTTTCAAATCATATTTGAACATTAAAATATTAACTTTTGATAATTAAATCATGAAGCAATAGCATAATTTACATCTTTCTTGCAATGTGACAACCATAAACAGAATTTATACTGTGAACAAATCAATCATGAGGAAAAAAGATGACTGAAACTTTACTTTATCATTAGCATTCATTGTACTGTTTATGACAACATTTTTTATAAGTGTCAAACTTTGGTTCTCTTCCGAAACGTTATTTATGTATATTTTTTTTTTCATCTCCTTTCCT